GGCCCCCCCCCCCCGGGCTCTCCCCCCCTCGGGCCCCTCGTCCCGCCGGCTGCCGTGCCCGTCGCCCCTGCCGGCCTCCTCCCTCCAACCGCTTGGTCCCCTCTGCTCCGGGCAGCTCTTTTCCCCTCTTCTCTCCGAAGGCCGCTGGTGCCTCCGCTCCTCCTCTTCTCGCTGCGCCCTGCTCCCGGGCTTCCTCTCAGAGCCCTTCCAGGGCTGCTGGCTCCCGCCGGCGCAGCGCTCGTAGCCGGGGTCCTCCTTCTCCTTCTTAATCTTGATCCTGGGCTGCGCCTCCTCCGCCGACACCGCCCTCTTCGCAGCCTGCGAGCTCTGCTTTTGCCGCTCCTGCCTGCTTTTCTCCTGATCTGAAACGCAAGGTTCATCTTTCGGGACGGAGCCCTGCAAGCATCGCCTCATCTCCCCAGGCTCTGCCTAGCACCGCGGCACCTTTCCGACTCCCAGTTTCAGTTCTGCCCCCTCCACCCAAGCCTCGCGGCCCGTTTCCCCCCCCAGACAGACGCTATTCCACTTCCAACCCCAACACCTTTCTCCTCCGCCCCTTCAACACTCGCCACCTCAGTTCTTCCCAGCAAGGCTGCCCTCAGGCACTTCAACACAGCCTGGAATATCGAGCGCCTTCCTCGCGCTCTCTTTCCTCAGTAACATCCACGCAATAGGAACGCCGTGATCCACTCCATGGAAATTCTCCTCTCCAGACCCAACGATTCCTTTCCCTCTCATTTTTGTGCATCTCCTCAGAGCTCTGGAGCGACATCTTGTCCCCACCCTTAGTTTTGTTGCCTATTTTCTTTCCTCCGATCCTCCTCTCAAAGCAGGACTCCAGCCTGACCGACGTGCCCCTCCGCCCCACACTAAGGCCCCATCCATCCTCTGTCCTCCTCCCACAACACAGAGCCGAGCTCCCCTCGACGGGCGGGAGCGCAGTAAAGGGGTCTCACACCCCGACAGCGCAAGGGCTCAGCCGTAGCTACAAGATAAAAATCACAGAATCGTTTAGGTTGGAAAAGACCCTTAAGATCATCGAGTCCAACCGTTAACCCAGTGCTGCCAAGGCCACCACTAAACCATGTCCCTCAGCACCACATCTCCCCAGCTTTTAAATCCCCCCAGGGATGGGGACTCAGCCCCTGCCCCGGGCAGCCTGGGCCAGGGCCTGACAGCCCTTTGGGGGAAGGAGTTTTCCCAATATCCAACCTAACCCTGCCCTGGCGCAGCTTGAGGCCGTTCCCTCTCGTCCCATCGCTTGTTCCTGGGGAGAAGAGACCGACCCCC